CCCAGAACACTTGAGCATGATAAGGTGGAACCAATACTTGGATCAAGAGGCAGTCGTCAGCACAGAGCAAGGAAATGCTGCATGTTTCAATATTGGAAACGGTGTATGACAGGGATGTGTGCTATCTCCATACCTTTTCAACCTGTATGCAGAACAGATTATCTGGGAGGCTGTGCTCTATGAGGAGAAATATGGCATAAGGATTGGCAGAAGATCTATCAACAATCTGTGTTATGCAGATGATACAATGCTGTTTGTTGAAACTGAGGAGGACCTGAAGCACTTGCTGTAGAGGGTCAAGGACCCTTCAATATGGATTAAGGCTCAATATTAAGAAGACAAAGATTCTCACCACTGGACCAATTGGCAGCATCAGGATGGATGGTGAAGAGATTGCTCACAGCTTTAATTTGCTTTGCTCCACAGTCAACACTCTTGGCACCAGCAGCCAGGAACTTAAAAGACATATTGCAATGGGAAAGTCTGCTGTTTGGGATCTCTCCAAAGTACTGAAGAGCAATGGTGTCACTCTGGAGACTAAGGTGCATCTGATACAGGCCATGGTTTTTGAAATCACTTGTTATGCATCAGACAGTTGGACAATGACTAGGGAGGATAGAAGAATTGGTGCCTTTGAGCTGTGGTGCTGGATAAAAGTATTGCATGTGCTAAGAAAATCAACAGATTCATCCTGGAGACGGTTAAACCAGGTTGCTCCTTGAAGGTATGGATTCTGAAGCTTCGTCTTACATACTTTGGACATGTTGTAAGGAGGGACTGGTCCTTGGAGAGGGACATCATGTTTGGGAGGGTGGAGGGACAACACAGGAGGGAAAAGTCCTCTGAGGTGGATTGATTAAGTGACTGGGGTAATTGGGATGGGTGTGTCAGAGACAGTTCAATTAGCACAGGACAGAGCAGAGTTTAGGGCTGTTGTGCATAAGGTCTCTATGAGTCACAAGTGACTCAACAGCACATAACAACAACAACAGCAACAACAACAACAATTCTCTACAGAGTCTTCCTGGCTCTTGCTTCCTCGAGTTAAACTTTTCCAACACTGTTGTAGACGTTAGTTTCTTCCTAGAGACGCATGTGGTACCGAAGTTCTCATCACTGTAGGTATTGGGAGGATCCTCCCTCCTAGGTATGATTTTGCAGGAGGTCCCTGATGTCACTCTGAAATGGGCTGCACTGAAGCTGCTCTGCTGAGGCAGAGCAGAAATGCATCAGTCTCAACGTCTCACCTTTCCATTTTTACCCAATTTTTTTAACTCCCACCTGCCATCTTTCCTTCGGGTAGGGCAGCCATGGCCCTTTGCAATATGCTGTCTTTGTCCTACAGAGATACAGAACTGTCTTTCTAATTGACTCTTCCTCATTCCATTTCTGCCTAAAGCCTGTTGACTTTCTTGTAGATGATTTCTATAAACTTGTTGTTGTTGTGTGCCATCGAGTTGGAACTGACTCACGGCTGACCCTCTAGCAGGTTATCAGAGGGAATAAATTACATAGCAGAAGATTTCCTATGCTCCAGAGGAGCAGCTGGTGAATTAGAACCATGTGCCTTTAGTATTGTAGTGCAGCTTCTTAACACTAGGCTCCAGAGTCCCTAAGGGTACAGGATAAGAAGGCCTGGTATCACAGTGATTATAGCACTAGACTACCAACCAAAATATCAGTAGCTCAGTCTCATCAACAGCTCTACAGGAGACAAGACCTTGGAGTCTGCCCATATAAGCTGACACTCAGGCCAAGGCAGCCTAGTTGGTCAGATGCTTTTTGAACAATATAAGAATGATGGACCACATATGTAATTAGAATGATAATTCTGGATGCAATTAGAGTCAGTGGAAGAAAGTCTATGGTGGTATATAAAAATCTAGTACTGGAAAGCATGACATGAATAAAGTTGAGAGCTATAGACAACAAGGAAATAGAAGGAAAGGAATGAAAAGCAATAGAGGGGAAGGCAATTAAGACTGGGATAGGAATAAGAGCAGAGTGTAAGCTTGGTGAAGGAATGACATTTTGAAGATAAAAGAGAAATTGAAGGCACTCCTAGAGATAGTCTATAATCTTTTCATGGGAAATGACTATCTGTGGATAAAAATCTGAATAATAATATTTGCTCAATTTTCACAAGGAAATGTGTGTGCTAAGTGTATATATATATATATATATATACACACATATATATACATATATATGTTGTTGGTGTCACATGACAGGGTAATTTAGGCTTTTTAAAAATTATTATTATACTAGTTTATTTACAAAATTCAAATATATTGTTTTCCAGGACAGATTCTTCCAATTTCCCTCACACCTCCACCCATCAAATTGTACAAACCCATGATTAATTCCCCCCTCTTCCTCCACATCCTCATCCCTCTGCTCCCTGCTGTTGGATCCTTATACTCATTCTAAAATAAGTTTTATACAATATTTGTCCTTGTAGAACTGAGTTAGTCCACTCAGCATAATGCTCTCCAGTCCCTCCCAAGTTAGGTAATAATTTACAAAATCATTGCTCCTGCATGCTGCATAGTATTTCATTGTGTGAATGTACCATGATTTCTCAATCCATTTGCTTGTGGTTGGACATCTGGGCTGTTTCAAAGTTCTTGTGATGGTGAATAATGCTGCTATAAACATTGGTGTACAAGTCTCTGTTTGTGCCTCAGTTCTAATTTTTTTAGGGTATATTCCAAGTAGTGGAATAGCTGGGTCATATGGAATTTCTATGTTCACATCCTCTCCAACATTTATTAATTGTTGCCCTGTTAAACTTTGCTACTGTTACTTTAGTGAGGTGGTACCTCATTGTGGTTTTGATTTGCATCTCTCTTATTTAGGCTGTCATTTTTATGGAGTGAATTGTCAGGTCTTTTTCCCACAGAACCACGTGGTGAGTTCAAATCACTGACCTTTCGGATAGCAGCAGAGCACTTAATCCTTGCACATCCCATCGCAGCCATCAATTCCAAGTGGCAGTGACCCTTTCTGCTGGAGGAGAATTGCATCATATATTATTGGGTTTCTAAGGCTATGTTGGTTGTATTTTTATTTTGAATGAAAGCAGATTGCCACATTTTCTCCTACAGAGTATAGGTGAGTTCCAACTGTTGGTTTTTTGGTTTGTAACCAGTCACTTAACCTTGTGCCACCAGGGAACCACCCTTGTACCATCAGTGATTCTTATATGTATATTTTGTTTAATTCTAGCAATCATCCTGTACAATAAGGACTGTTATAATCTTGAGCTCTGATGGCTTAGTGGCATGGAGTTGTGCTACAAATCCAAAGGCAGCTGGTTTAACTCCACTAGTTGCTTCATGGAAGAAAATTGGTAATCTCCATACACTGACAACTTCTGAAAATCCAGTGAATGGTCGGTCAGCTCTGAGTGGGTTCTGACTGCAAGGTAGTGAGTGAATGATTCTGACCCTAGAAATTCCTGGGTGGATCACACGGTAAAAAGATCAATTGCTAAATTAAAGACAATGAGAGCTATCCTGCAGTGCATGAGTACTGCTGAGAGATGACAACTACTGAAAACCCTAGAACACAGTTCTACTCTGACACATGGGGTAAGCAAGAGTGAGGACCACTCAGCAACAAAGGATTTTTAAATTATGACCCTAGTTTTACAAGCAAAGAGACCAAAGCTCTGAGAAATTGTGTAACTTATCCATGATGACAGAGACAATATGAGGTGGGAGTGACGTTAATGTTGTGAATGTTTGGGGATGATAAGAGGTGACAAAGGGGATTCTGGGATGGAAAATTTGTCCAGAAACACTTAGCAGGAAGGGAATGCAAATAGTGGGCCAGAAATGACAAAAATCATCCTTCAATGGCACAAACGGTTAAGGGACTAGGCTTCAAACAGAAAAGATGAAGGTTCAAGTTCACCACCAGAGGTACCTCAAAAGACAGGTCTTAAAAACTAGTCACTGAAAACCGTTTGGGACCCAGTTTTGCTCTGACACATGAGTTTTCCAAGAGTTGGAATAAACTCAAAGGCCATTGATTGAAATAATCTCTGTGTGTGTGCGCGCGCAGTGATAGCACAGTCTGGGGGACATGGAGCTTCAGTGTGGTCACAGGGCTTTGGTGAACTGATTAGGCTCAGAAGAAAGGACTGAGAGAGGACCCCAGGCAGGGCAATGCTGAGGTGGTGAAGATATAGGAGCGCCAAGGTGACAGATGCAGGCGTCCAGAACCCAACCTCTTCCAGTGTCAGGAAGGGCCCGGGTCTGAAAACACCGAGCAGTGGACCAAGGAATTGGAATTAGAATCTTGCTTTTACGTTTTGTTGGTAGTCTCTTTTCCTTTTCTTTGCCTGTGTGCTGTTGTTCACAGCGCAACACTAACTAACTGAAAATATACTGGAAAGGCAGCTGAGATGAGAATCACCATAAAGTTCTATAAATATTCTGAGGGGCAGGAACAGGGAACACTTGGTAGGAACAGCCATGGGTGCCAACTTCCTCACACACTACCCGTATTGAATTGCCGGGTGATGGGGTTGTGCAGTGGAGTCTCGGGAGAAGGACTATACCGCGTAGTGAGGTCAGAGAAAATACAGAGCAAATCCGCACACACTGGCCCCAGTGCTTCCGACTACCTCTGCAGCTGCGTGGAACACACCCTTAACCCTCAGGACGGGGCATTATTTTCTCCCTTCTTTTGTCAGATAATGACTCCCACGCAGGAAAAGGAAGCACCTCTTTGTCAGAAGCTGCGGCCACTTCCTCTTTTGAAGGCTCCAGCCAACCTTTCGTTTTGCAGAATGAGGGGGCCGAGCGGCTTCAGTTGCTGGGCTGCCTGTGCGCTGGGCCACAGGCCTCCTCTGCAGCCTCAACATCAGCCTTTATCAGGAGCAAGTCCCTTGACTGCCTCTCCAAATCTTTTCTGATACAGATACGGACATGGCTCCTTGAGACAGGCCTGTCTATTCTTGCCTCTCCTCCCTGGGCACATTGCTTATATCCCTCAGTCAGTCGGCCTTTCTGTTCCTCTCTGCAGTTCGGTCCCAGAGTGTGATGACCGGTGAGCAAATGGCAGCCTGTAACCTGTCATCGACCCCTAACCCTCTGGAAAGACCTATCAAGATGGGCTGGCTGAAGAAGCAGAGATCCATCGTGAAAAACTGGCAGCAGCGTTACTTTGTGCTGAGGGCACAGCAGCTGTACTACTACAAGGACGAAGAGGACCTAAAGGCACAGGTACCATCAATGCTTTATGTCCCACACTATGGGTCTTCCTCATGCTGCTTGGAGCAGAGCACTTAGTGACATGGCTTAGATGGTGTGTAAAGGGACTTTCTTACTTGGACTAGATGCATGCCTGTTTGGCAGGAGGTTGCTCCCCCTCACCCTCTCCTCATTTTCTAAGGACATAAACTGGGTTGCACAGACAGATGACAGATCTGGGAAGATCACTTCGGTGTTTCCTAGAAGCAGCTCAAACACCTGGCTCCCCACCCGGTCATGATGGTGCTGGCATTGAGAAAGAGGCTCTGAGAGCATAAATTTGGCTTGGAATTGAATTTTGCACTTTACTAATTCTTGAAATATTTTTTGAGCATCTACTATGTGTCAAACACTATTTTAGGTAGTTGAAATAAGCCAGAAAGACAAATTAACATGCTTACCTTTGTGGAATTTAGGCTCTAGAAAACCAGACAGTTAAGATAAATCCGTTTACTAGAAAGCATATAGTTTACTAGGGGAGAAAGAAGTAGTTCTATGTAGAAAAGAAATAGAGGGATTAAGGGGGATCAATAATTTGGGACAGATGTTAGAATTTGCAATAGGACGAAATAGGATATTCAAGATAGATGTCATGGAGAGGGTGACATTTGGGTAAGGAATAAGGAGAAGAAGAAGTAAACAAGCAGGTGACCTCTGGGAGGAGGAGCCCAGACACAGGTGCAGCCAGCATGATGGCCAAGAGGCGAGGGCAGTTGGAGGTCATTGTGAGTGGAGTAGAGCGAGGGAATGAAAGGGCTTGAGGTCAGAGAAGAGGTCCTGGGTTGGGGTGGGGGCAGGATTTCAAAGGCCATTTATAAGGACTGAGGGCAAGCCAGAGCCATTATAGGAACTTTACTCTAAAAGAATGGCTATGTTTAAAAGTAGACTTTGGGCTGGAGTGGGAGAGGGGTGTGCAGCATTTATAATATTTAGAATCCTAGTGATAAGAGAGGGTGAAACCAGACTGCTCCTTGGAGCCAAAGATTCTAAAGCTTTGTTTTTGTTTGGGAATGTTGCAAGGAGGAACCAGTGATTGGAAAGGGACATCATGCTTGGGATGGTGGAGTGACAGCACATGAGAGGAAGACCCTCAATGAGATGGATTGATTTCGTGACTGGGGTAATGGGGGTAGGTGTGTTGGAGACAATCAGATTGACACAGGATAGAGCCAGGTTCAGAGCTGTTGTACATAGGGTTGCTATGAGTTGCAAGAGACTTGATAGCACATAACAACAACAGTGATGGGTTTAGAGGGAAAGGGTAAGATTCTGGATGTGCTTTGATGGTAGAGCAAACAGTATTTCCTGATGGAGTGAGTGAGATTGTAAGGGGGGAGGTTTTGATCCTAAATCTTGAGTCTAAGTCTCTTCTCTTCACCCCATTGATTCCTCACCGCTTCTGTGGTATGTGAGAGTAGAAGGGACATTATTAACAATTGCCCTGGGGTCCTCAGTGTAAGCTAAATGTCTAGGGCATCTATGAAGATTGAAGGATAGGCTTAGGTCTTCTGAAGAGACAAAAAGCCCCAAGAAGGATGAGAAATGAATAGAGAATGCAAACAAATTTGATGGTCATTTTGTAAGAAGATGGCTGTTTTAAAGGACTGACTTGAAGGTCCATGGCATGTCAAGAGACGCCTGTTTAATCAATTCTGAACCTGAAAGCTGAGTGTGTTCTGAGTATCTCTGTCACTGTTGAGGCAAGGGTTAGCTATATGGGGGTGCTGTATACAGAATTACTTGCCAGTGACCTATTCATGGTAACCAGACTTCCTTCTCTTTAGAAACAGTTCACACTGTCAGAGCTTAGATTGTGGTGATTGGTGGTTAAATACCTGGAGCAGGAAGTCTTCCTGGCTTTAGGCAGTAAGGGATGTGACAGTTATCCAGGGCCATACGAGTCAATGGAAAGGGCAGGTGGTGGCTTTGGCTTCCATGAAGCATAGAGGGTTATGAGTGTGCTTCACCAGGGTGCCACCGTCTCACCATGTCATTATTTAATTTTTCAGAGCCTTCATTCTTCTGTAAAGTGAGACAATAACATAGTCACAAGCTCATGTAAGAAGTCGTTTTGTGAAAGGATGAATTGGTTTGTCAAAAGGCAAAATAAATACTTGATTATCCCAGTTTCTCCTTCCCTTAATCCTTGGAAAAGAAAATGCAAAGGTTTTCTCAGGATTATATGAATCTGGCATAATCAAGTAAAGCTTCTTCTAGGTTGGCAAAGGTGGTTTATTTTCAAAAGATATCTGTTACTGCAATAATATATCATGTCAGTAGGTTGAAACCAATAGGTCAAAAGAGAGGAAAAAAAAATCCCTTCAATAAATGCCTGAAATTTTTTTAATCTTAATTTTTTTACTATTAATTTCAATGAACGTTTACAGAGACTTTGGATTTCCATTCATTCATTGTTGTATTTTTCTCCTGCCTACCCCTCCCCCCAGTTCGCTGTCCCTTTGGAAAGTAAAAGAAAAATTCCTTCATTGGTATACAATCCCCCCCCCCCCCCCCCCCCCCGCCGAGTACACTCCACTATGCAGTCTTCTGGACTCTTGTCATGACCACAATACCCAATCATATATTGCTTTTAAACAGTTCCCTCCCTCATCTGTTTCAATGCAGTATTCATAATTTATCCAATCTAAATTCTACTTCTAAAAAAAGAAAAGAACAAGTAGGTGACTGCTTGTCTCAGATACTTTGACATCCACATACTCTGCCAGGACAGCATACTAGTTTGTTACAATATTGCCCTGGGAAAAATACCGACAAAGAAAAAGTAATGTAAATAAATATTCCAGATACAAGTTGAAAAAAATGCCTGGAAAAATCTGATAAATTTCAACATTCACATCAGATATTAAAATAAAATTTTTAGGAAAAATAGTAATTTATTAGAATACGTATCTTCTCTGACATTTATGTTTTCATTACAAAAACTCTACATGTGCATAATAAAAAATTTGGAAGATGCAGAAAAGCAAAAACTAGAAAATAAAAATGGTGCATAATCTCACAAATTATAATCCCTAATTTACCAGCTTTTCTAGTCTATCTCTAATCCAAATACACAAAATTATGACCAAATTGTTACAAGTCTAAAGTTGGTATTACAAAAAGAATTAGTTAAAATTAATAATATCTTGTGAATATTTTACCTGTTTTTTAGATATTTTTCTACAATGACTAATTCTTAATAATGGGAATTAATCTGTTGGATAGGGAGCTCTGGTGGCCAAGTGGCAAGAAGCCATGCTGCAATCCTGAAGACTCACAGTTTGAGGCCACTAGGTGCTCCATGGGAGATGGGTGGGCAATCTCCTCCTGTGCGATTGAAAGCCCTCTGTAGGGTCAGCTATGGGTCGGTTGAGACTCCACAATATATAACAACAACAACAACAACAATGTAAATATTATGTGAACAAAAAATGAATTCCTGAACTCTAGGCTAATAGGTGACCCTTCAGTGGGTTTTCAGAGGCTTTCAACCACTGGGAGAAGACTGTTCATCTTTCTGCTGCAGAACCATTGGTGGATTTGAACTGGCAGAAAGCTAATACTTTCTGTATAGTTTTTACTCACATTACAATAAAAAATTTTAAAAGCCTTTATTAAGCAAGTTTATTGCTTAATATGTAAATAAAATTTATTGAATAATTAATTTTTCATTCAGTAATGTCTACATATTTTGTTTTGTGGTATTAATTAAGGTCCCCACAAAGTACTCTTCCCGCTTTTGCTTAGCAAAATAGTCTTAATGAAAATATTCTTTTTAAAAAAATTTTTATTTTATTATTTTTGTGCAAGTGTGCCATCAAATCAGATCTGACTGGTACAGGAGGAGATTGTCCCTCCTTCGCCGGCAGAGCATCTGGTGGATTCGAACCATGCGCCTCTGTCATTGTAGTTGCAGCTCCTTACCACTAGGCCACCAGAGCTCCCCTAAAATATTCTTTTAAATGAACAACAACAACTAAATACCCAGCAGCTCAACTTAAAAAAAAAAATGACTAAGTGGTACTATCTACCAAAGGAATATAATAGGAAGTAAACATACATTAATAAGTTCAATATCAGTTATAATTAGACAGTAATGTGAACGGAGGAAACACTACCATTTCCTTATTAAATTGGAAAACATTTTAATTTTTTTTTTATGGCTAAGTATTAGTGAGAACTAAAGATCAGGAATCTCCATGCAAATGTAGTGGACCTGAAAATCTGCATAACCTTTCTGGAGAGGATGTGCCTTTTAAAAATATAAACCATTGTCTCTGAATTTTTAATCCTAAAATTTAATGTACAGAGATGACTTCGATTTATGTAGATGATAACTTTTTTTTTTTAAATTTTGTGTGTGTGTCCTTTCAAATCAGATCTGACTGGTACAGGAGATTGCCCCTTCTTCTCCAGTAGAGCATCTGGTGGATTTGAATTGCACACCTTTGGGACTGCAGTGCAGCTTCTTGTCAGTAGGCCACCAGAGCTCCCAAGAAGATTACATTTACTTGTACAAATTTCATCACAGGTACACTTATAATATTGATTTGAAAACTATCTCCAGTAACACTAATTACCAAAGACCAAATGAGTTGTGAGATGACATCAAGTGTATCAACCATGAAGTCAAAAGATCAATATAAAAAGAGAGAAGGAAAGACCAAAATATATGTCAGAAGAGACTTAAAATTGCCCAAGAATATCAAGAAACAAAAACAAAGGGAAGAAATGCAGAATGTAAAGGAGATGGACAGAAGATTTCAAAGGGCAGTTAAAAAGACAAAGCAATGTTTTACAACAAAACATACAATGACGTGGAGTTAGAAAATAAGAGAAGTCACTTGACATTTCTCAAGCTGAAAGAACTGAAAAATAAATTTAAGCCTTGAGTTGCAAAACCAAAGGGTACTGTGGGCAAAGTTTTGAATGATTCAGGAAGCATCAAAAGAAGATGGAGGAACGCACTATAA